CTGCAGGTTATATTATTTCCTGTTTTCCACATTGCTTTGGCTACACTCCAAATTTTGGCCCCTCCTGAACATGCCTGATATGTACGCCATCCTTCCACAACTCCGTCACCGCTCTCTAACGTGTCTGCTACAGTTCAGTCGACGTTCTGGTCATAGGCGCTGGCCCAACTGGCTTGGGTGCTGCCAAAAGACTCAACCAGATCGTATGTGCCTCTTGCGCCCCTGACAACCCCCTACTGACCGCTCCCCAGAATGGCCCATCATGGATGATTGTTGACTCCAACGAGACTCCTGGCGGTTTGGCTTCTACAGATGTGACTAAGGAGGGGTTTGTATGTCACCTGAAGTCCCGTGCAAGAGTATTCAGGCTCTAACCTCTAGAATAGCTCTATGATGTCGGTGGTCATGTCATCTTTTCCCACTACAAATACTTTGACGACTGCATTGACGAGGCGCTGCCGAACGAAGACGATTGGTACACCCACCAGAGGATATCCTACGTTCGGTGCAAAGGTTTATGGGTGCCATATCCATTCCAGAATAATATCTCGATGCTGCCCAAGGAAGATCAGGTGGTATGCATGGACGGGCTGATTGACGCCGCCATGGCAGCAAGAGTCGCAAACACAAAGCCTCAGAACTTTGACGAATGGATTCTTCGCAACACTGGGGTTGGCATTGCAGACATTTTCATGAGGCCCTACAACTTCAAAGTCTGGGCTGTTCCCACCACGAAGGTGAGCTTGCTACAAAGACTACGTTCGGCCCTGGGCTAACCCCTGCACAGATGCAGTGCCAATGGCTTGGGGAACGTGTGGCAGCTCCTGATCTCAAAGCCGTCACCAAGAACGTCATTCTCCAGAAAACTGCAGGGAACTGGGGCCCCAACGCTACCTTCCGATTCCCCGCGCGAGATGGAACTGGTGGCATATGGATTGCCGTGGCCAAGACTCTCCCAGAAGAGAAGAAGCGCTTTGGAAAGAAAGGCACTGTTAAGAAGGTCAACGCCGACAAGAAACAAGTTCTCCTGGCAGATGGCACCACTATCCACTACGAAAGACTCATCAGTACCATGGCCATTGACTTCCTGGCCGAGGTCATGGGAGATGAGAAAATGATCAGCTTGTCCAAGGGCTTGTTCTATAGCAGTACCCATGTCATTGGCGTGGGCATTCGAGGTTCGCGTCCCGAACGTATTGGCGACAAGTGCTGGCTCTACTTCCCTGAGGACAACTGTCCCTTCTACCGGGCGACCATTTTTTCCAATTACTCACCATACAATCAGCCACAAAAGCATGTCAAGCTGCCCACGTTACAACTTGCCAACGGATCCCGGCGCCAGAGCATGCAGGCTAAGGAAGGTCCGTACTGGTCGATCATGCTGGAGGTTTCCGAATCTAGTATGAAACCCGTGGACCAGGAGACTCTCCTCAAGGACTGCATTCAGGGCTTGGTCAATACCGAGATGTTGAAGCCCGACGACGAAATTGTCTCGACATACCATCGCCGTTTCGATCACGGGTACCCAACCCCGACGTTGGAGCGAGAAGGGGTGCTCAAGCAGATGCTACCGGCACTTCAAGAGAAAGGCATCTACAGCCGCGGCCGCTTTGGGTCCTGGAGATACGAAGTGGGCAACCAAGACCATTCGTTCATGCTGGGAGTCGAAGCTGCAGACAACATCATCAACGGAGCAGTAGAGCTGACACTCAACTACCCCGACTTCGTCAATGGGCGGCAGAACACAGAACGAAGGCTGGTGGAGGGGGCTGCGTTGTTTAGCAAGAAAGCGGAGAATGGCAATGTTGTGGTTGGACGTCGCATGACCGGCGGCAAGACGGAGCTGGGTGGGCGCATGGGAACGAGTGGGAAAGAGGCATTGAATGCCAGCGGCGGGACCGCGACAGCCATGAAGGACGGCAACTCGAGGGTTCTGAATCGCAGCTGGTGAGGAGGAAGAGCGACTCTGTCATGAGATTTCACCATTTTTCTTTTTTCCTCTTTTCGTTCTTTCCGAAAGCATTGGACATACATATTCCCCTTGCCAAGCGAGCGGCATACAGCTAGAGCGAGTCATTCACGTGGATCAAGAATACGGGGTTGTTGCGCATGGTATACGGGATCACGGGAGAGAATTGGACGGTTTAGAGGGGCTTCCCTTTGCCAACACTACCAACTAGAGGAGACGGTCGAAAAAGAAAATCACTTCCAACTCCCGGATGTTCATCCATTACCACATCTCTCAAGGCCCTGATGATGGCGGTTTTCTGCCTTTTAGGCGAGGAACAACCCAGTAGTCAATCACCCCGCAGTGTACGGAGTAGTTGTAAATATCTCGCTATGCACTTACCTAGGCATGTACCTACCTAGTCAGCTAGTTGATAGGATTCCTCGCGACCCGGGTGTTCCTGTTCTGTTCCGTTCCGGGACGTTAGAAAAAGTGCGGGGGAAGACGCTTGTTCCCTCCCCACTCGCTACCAAAGACTCGCTACACACCTACAACTAGGTCCTCAGTCCGATTACGATTGTGTAACTCTCTGACTAACACCCAACTCGGAAGTCCATGAAAAATTTTCAGCGTGGTCGGTCAGCTGAGCGTGGCTATGTTCGGATCGTTGTGCCGTAGGAGTGATACATGGTGGTGGTAGGAAAAGGATGCTGAGGATGCTGTTTGTGAGGAATGCAGGAATGGAGTAATGCGGGAGAAAAGCGTGGAGAAGGGCCTAGACTAACAGGTACATATGTACTTGGTACTGGGCACTCGTGTGTGCGCTTCGTACTCGAACAAGTAACAGGCGCTCGGGAGGTAGTAAGGTAGTCGCGGAGGACCTCATACGTTTGTCGATTGATTCTGTACCCTGTACTCTGTACCCAGATGCCCTCCCCTATCTTACCTACTTGTACGAATACAAACAAATACTCAGCTCCGCTGTGGAGAAGGAGGAGAAATGCCTCATTGTTGTTGTCTGAATCTAGCAGTGGCGTCGTCAGAATTGGCCGATCAAGTCCGGGCTTTGCACGCTCAGTCTTGCCATCCCACCATCGAGGTAGATCGATCCGGCACACGTCTGTGCGTTCTCTTCATTTCCCTCGTCAAGCCACACCAGATCCACCTGTTGCCTTGTCCTGACTGAGGAGTTCGGGCGCAGTATGATCGAGGGCTGGCGGGAAGAACAATTCCGCTGGCCCGGGAACTGCTTGGAGAACATCTGAGTTGGCTGTGGTTAGCAGAGTAGTTAAGATAATGACATGAATGTCTGGGTAGGAAGTATCTGCAAAGAGCAGGCCAGCGGTGGAGAGGTGTTGTGCGCGCTCGAGACGCATGTTTGTTGAAAACGATGGGTTTTGTATTGGCCATCGTTCCTTGCTGCTTTTATGTCATTGTCAGCGGGGACACAGGAGGAGCTGGCTTCCACAGATGACCTCGTATGGCAGCGTGTGGAGGGTTTGTCTTGCGTGTCTCTTTACAAGTAGACATTTCGTCTGTCTCTACAAGTACTTTGCGCCTATTCCGGGGTTCATGCTTGACCATACCGACTCATTCACACATGCTTTCTCCTGGATAGCAGGCAGAGTCCGGAAAACGAGTGGAGGGGTATTTGTGCGCGACAGTGGGGAGTGGATTGCGTTGGGGCTTCTGTTTCAGTTCTGATTCTCGCGTCATTGTCATATGATGTTTTTCTTGATGGAGTTTGCCAGGTGATGAATGGAGCAGAGAGGCTCGATGGAGCGTAATCCAAAGTGAAAGTGAGATCCACGGTGCAATCGATCGAGAGGTGTTCGTGAGGATCGAGGCGAGGAGGGACGCATCACGTCAGTGCACGCAGCAAGCACGCGGAACCAGCTCAGAATTGGGATGTGTTCCTGAATTTTCGCCTTGACCACTTTGTCCACTTTGTCCACGGTCCCCGCCAACTGCAAGCAGCAGGGCAGTTACACCCAATCATGGCCAGCACCATTCGACTGAATTTGTGCTCATGGGCATTCCGGGCCTAACCGCATGCAACACTTGGCACTGGCATCAGATGCACCGGTTGTTTCTGCTGCATGTCGTCTGACTCGCCAAAAAACATCTCAACACATTCGTTCGAACCTTGCAAGGAAGGAAGTAGGGGGGAGGCCACCAAAAGGACCCCGAAAGCGCCTATAAGAGGGAGTCTTGTGTGTCGAAAAGGACCCCGCTAGGTGACGCCCATTGAGGACTATGGGCCCTATGGCTGCATCACTGCCACCGAACTGCCACCCGTGGCCGGCACTATTCCTCCGTCAGCCTAGCATTTTTCTCGCCCGCAGGGGCGGTGACGGGCTGCTCACTGTTGGACCAGTAGCCTGTTAGATGCCACTGGCCACCCGCCTGGAATCATCGTCACCAACAAAAGACTTTTCGTGCGCTTGTGACCCGTGACTTTTGCCCCGTGAACCCTTCTAGGCATGACTATGCCTATGCACATGCCCAGGCCCACGCCTATAGGTAATCATCGGGGTTCGGTGGGCTGCAGGACCAAGTAGGACCCAGCTAACTAGCCGGCAACTTGTCAACCTCCTGCTTCTCCACGATTTTCCACGACTACCACGCAGTCCTCGAAATCCCAGCATACAAGAAAAAACACCTCATTGCTCTCCAACCTCAACCTGTATCACATTCTGTTTCCTTTTCCTTGATAATTCTTCCACATGCTTTCCCCCCATTGATCTCAACTAAACCTCCCACTATCTACCCATTCCGTCATCTTTCTCACGAATTTCCTTTCTCTCTTTTTCTTTGTATCTTTCTCCAAAACGGTACGTAGCTGACTTCTCCAATTCCAACCCTTCGAGTTCTTATCGTCAGAGCCTCGAAATATTCCGCTCGCAAACCTTGATTGTCTGCCAGGGCGGTGAATGGGATATATCTCCCGAGACAGTACCTGTTTATCCCTTGCGCCTTGTCCAACCTCGATTGCTGTTCCTATGCTAACGTCGTCCTGGCACAGTCGACGTCAAGCATTAGTTTGCCCATCATGTCGGCCGCTCAAGTCGCTCCCACCATTCCCCCTCGTCCTGTTCGAGCCCAGCAAGCTGCTGCCCATGGCGCCGGGAAGCTGCCTGATATCCCTCCGCGTCCCATAAACAAGCGTCTCGAGCGTTCGGTTTCCCCCTCCAACTACCCTCGATCCCCTCTGAACGAGCCATGGTCCGCGAATCTCACCCGTCAGAAGACCAATGAGCAAACCTCCGCCGAGGGACTGCCCCGCCGTCCCAGCGTCCAGCACCTGCCATCCCTTGGTCAAGAAGGCATGGAATACGGCGAGATCATGGACATGGAAATGGAGATGCAGATGGATAAGGTGGAAACGAACCAGCAGCCTCCTGTCTCGGCTCTGGCTGCGGATGCTGCGGCGCAGACTAGGAATATTGCCCAAGACCTCCATTTGCATGCTCCAAAGCCCTCCCTCCCCAAATCAAGTGCGACTGCGCAGGTCCAGGCTGTCACCAGGACCGACTCGCAGCAGGCCGCTTCCCACGGCATTGGGAAGCCGTCCACCCCCTCGCCAGATGAAGCTGAAGGGCTGCAGCAAGTGAGGACTAGGTCAAGTTTCTCTCGGCCCTCGTCTACCATCGCCGGCGAGCGTCGCCCCTCAGTCTTTGGAGATGAAGAGTCGGGTCCTGCGGAATTGGGTCTCCGCGTCCCCATCAATCCTCTCTTGGGTGACGTACAGGCCCCCTCTCCGGCTCCAGGTCTGAGTCCTGCTCATACCGGAGCAAATGGCGACAAGAGACGTCCCACACACTCACGAGCAAAATCGAGCAGGGAGATATTCACTCCTCCTGGCAGCTATGGTCTTCATGGCCACGGCGTTGCTCCCCAGGACAAGTTTGAAAAGGACTGGTACGCCAAACACCCCGAGGTGGCCCAAATCGAGGAAACCCTTGGGCATGGAGTCTATGAGAGCATCGGGAGCGGCCGCGGCGCCTTTGCCTTGAGTAGTGATGATCTGAATAAGATTGTGCGGGATACTGCCAGCCGCGGAGCAGGACTCGGTAAGGTGCATGCTGTGAAAACATGGCACGCTCTAACACATTTGTCCAGGAACGTCAGGAACAACCTATTCATATCCTGATGAACAGATTGGGTATCTGGCCTCAGATATCTACATCTCAAGGTCCCAACAAACTACTCCCAACAGCCTCGCGAAGACGGTGACTAACAACTCCCAACCGGCTCTCGAGTCTCCGTTGAGAAAAGCTAGTTTCCCGGCGGACGAGACCATCCCAGCTGAAGTCCGTCGCGGCCGCCTTTCGGTTTCCAGCAAGCATGACGATCATGATGCCCTTGAAAGTGAACAAGAGGGAGAAATCCATGTTCCGGCGGGTCGCCGTTTCAACAAGATTACGGGCAGCGAAGAAACTCTGAATGAAACGGCAGAAGCTCGGCTGTTTGGCCAGGAAGATGAGTATCTCCAGGAATACGGCTACACCGTGCCCATTCTGGCAGCGGACGAAGTCGCGAAGGAGGCAGGCATGGAACACCTTCAGCCAGCAGTTTCTCCCAAACAGGAACGCCGTGGAAGTCTTGAGCCTGTGAGCGGTGACGTTACCCCAGGCTCACGCCCGCCGAGCAGACCCCCCAGCATGTACAGTCTTCACAACCATTCTCTATCTCGATTTATTTCACATCCCGAGGAACGAGAAACCATGCACACTCCACTGGAAGATGTACATGAATACGAACCTCTCTTCCCCGAAGATGACGACAACAAGCCAATCAATTATGCTGAACGATTCAAGCCAAGACCCAACACTCTCAAGCAGCGATTCCCTAGCCAAGACATTTGGGAAGATACACCAAGCAGTGCTCTTTATTCCGCCACCGTCTCTACACCAGATCTTCCTTCTAAGGTCGAGGATGCGTCTGCTTCAAAGACATTTGAACCTCCAGAACAGGAGGCAAGCCGAGATGAAGAAGCATCAGAGAAAGAGAAGGCTAAATTAATACTGAAAGAAGAAAAACTCGCGCAATCCCGCTTTGCACCTCACCTACGTGACGACATGCCGACTAGACCTGGAATGGTACCTAGATTTCCTAGCCAAGATATATGGGAAGATAGCCCTGACAGTCACCACCTTGTCACGACGATCACCAACCTTCCAAGAGATCATGAGCCGGAACCGGAGACCTCACAAGAAACTCCACTTAAGCCAAACATCCCTCCACGTCCTGCTAAGAACAGGTTAGGGGAAGGAGCATCGTCTGCTCAGATCGCGCCGAACGTGCCACCCCGACCAACCAAAGCACTTGGTTCTATTCCTCCTTTAGGTCTTCCCCCGACTGACGGGACGAAGTCGAAGGATGCCTCCCCGACGGAGCTTAAGAAAGTTCCAAGTATCCCCGATCGACCAAAGCCTCAAATTCCAGCTCGCCCAGCAAAGAAACCTGCCGGAGAGAGCCTGACAAAGACTATTTCCGGCGGTCCGACAGGGTCGGTTGAGCAGGAGAAGATTTCGCCTCCCATTGCCAAAGCTAAGCCACAAATCCCTGCCAGACCTGGTGCAGGCAGTAAAATTGCCAATCTGAGAGGGAACTTTATGAACGATCTCAATCAGAAACTAGGCTTGGGACCGCCTAAGGAGAAGGAGAAGGAAGCAGAGCCGGTGGTGGAAGAGGCGAAACCTCTGGAGGATGCACGAAAGGGCAGAGCCCGAGGTCCTCAAAGACGGGCACCGGCCAAGTCTCCGGCTGCGGTGAAACCTATGGGATTCTCCATGTTTGCACCGCGATCGTTGTGGACTATTGACGATGTTGACGAGCTGAATGTCACTCCAAGCGAACCGGCAGCACCTGCATCCACATTGAGAGCGGAAGACGAACCTTCTCAGCTAGATGTTCCGGAGGCGGCCGAGCAGGTCAACAACTCCGTTCCAGCCGACACTACAGTTGATGCAACGGAACCTGCCGAGGCAGAACCCAAGCTTGCAGAGGCAGGGGTAAAAGCTGAGGATGAACCAGCACCGATGGTGACCGATTTAGCCATGAACACTGCCGCAGAACTCGCAGACCCGGAACCCACGCTCGGGACGCCTATAAAGGAAAAGTCTAATCCCTTGAGTCGGAATGAATCAGCCGAGAAAGGCGACAAGGAAGGTGGAGAGGTTGACCTCTCTCAACGCACTACGGCAAGCAGTGATCAGGTCTTGGGGTCAGAATTGGAAAGAGAAGACCCCGATCCAAACATCGATGCAATTCCTGCAAGCAAGCATACCACAGCAAGCACACTTGGAGATACACTGCCCTTGGAGAAGAGCCAAGCCCCAGAAGAACAGAGGACGCTGAGAAACACATTGCCGGAAGGAGAACCAGGAAAGCCCAGCATGGAGGAGGTCTAGCAGGTAACGGTTGGCTAGCGGAGTTGTAGTGGGATCTGCTGGAACACAGAGCACGGGCTTACAAGGCCATGGTATACGTATGGGTAAAAGCAGCTCGAGCTATGTGGCTTGTGCTAAGGATACGGGTAAGACAAATGGTAGCAGGTTGGAGACTGGAAAAGGGCCGCAAGAACCCCCCAAAAAAGCAAGGTCTCCATGTTTTTTTTTCTCAGCCTTGGGCCTTGGTTTTTTATTTAGAATAGCGAGAAACCGTTCCTATTCATTGGCTTCATTCTCTCATTTCCCTTTTCTTTTGGAGCATACTGCTGCACCTGCTTGTGGATCGCTCACTCAAACATGTCATCGAAATCCACGGCTTTGGGGCGGACCCTGCGGCCCTGAGACGTCAACGTCGTCGAGGGGAGGGGCGAGGGTTTTGCTGCACGGTCTGGAGAATCTCCTTGTGGTTGTGGTTGTGGTTGTGCTTGCACTCGTGCCGCCGTCACTGGTTTTACTTCTGGTTCTGCTTCTAGGGCCGTCTTTGCGTTGCTGCCTCCCTCTTCTTGCAGGGGTGGCCGGGGGTCCTTCTGTCTGCGGGCTTCTTCTCCATCTTCGTGTTCGTCATCGCTGCTATCCGCCATGGGCACGCCGTCGATATTCTCGTCCGTGAGAACTGTATCGCCGTCGTCGTCGAATTCGACGTCGACGCCAGCTCCGGCTTCGGCTACGTCTTCGTCGTCGTCATCGGCCATGGGCGTGCCGTCCATACTCATTTCCACATCGCCGTCATCGGCTGCACGGGTTGCATGGGCGAGGACAGAAGTAGAAGGTATAGGTTTCCCGTCTATTTCAAAACCGCTGTTGCTCACAGCATCACCCACGCTGCGCCATCGGCTCACACCTCCAATGGCGGCCCTTTCTCTCTCCCTTTGTCTGTCTCTCTCGGCCTCTTGCTCGGCCTTGGCCTTCTGTTCCTGTTCAGTCAGAGGTGGATGCAAGAATCCCTCCATCATCTCCTTCATCCTCGCTTCCTCGAACACGCACCATCCTTCCCACAATCCCAGGACCACCTGCACCTGCCTCTTCCACTTCTCGGCTTTGAGCTTGCCCCATTCATACTTTTGCGGGAGTTTACCCAACACGGGCAAAACGTTCTGGGCGAGGAGCTGGTGTTGTAAGAGAGAGCGATAGCGCCATGCGTGCCGGACGCCCGAGGTCGAAGACGCCGAGAGGATATCGCTAATGAGATACAGCCCAATTAACGAAGCCGGGGATGTGTCCATTTCCTTGGTTTTGGAGGGCTGGTTCGGTTCTTCTGTCGTGGAAGGTTCCTTGTCCCACAGGTGCTTTGGCGTGCCATCGCTGTTCTCATCGTCATGATGGTGATCCCCGGCATCTGTATCTCCTTTTGGTCTCGTCACAGAATAACAAAATGGCCTGACCACATTCCTCGTGACTAATTCCGCTACTTCATCCGCCCCGGCCCCAGCATGCTCAATCGCAAACCCCGTCACTCGCGCAACATCGCCCCTGCGCAGTTTTGCATTTGTCTCTGGCAGGCGACTGAGTAGGTGGATGAGTTTCGTCTTGGCGAGTGGGTTAAGATAGCCTGTACCGTCATTCTCGGCCGTCGAGTCACTGACGTTGGCGACTTTCTGGTGATCATGATACCGTCTAGCTAATCCACCCCCTCTGTCGTCATCAATATCTTCTTCGTCCGAAGAATTGTAGTCTTCGTCAGAGATAAATTCCTCCAAATGAGTGGTATATTCGAATTTGAGATCTTCCTCGGGCGGGATCCAGGTTGCTTGTCCCTCAAACAAAACGTCACCTTGCAGCTGACGCGTCCCGTACGCGGTATACCGTTGTTTGCGACGTGATTTGGCGTCTGTGAGAATCTCCCAAAGGCGCCACCGATAATACACTCCGCCCATTGATCGTGAGTTCCACAGCCAAGCCCACCGTTCGTCGCGCTGAATCTGTGGTCTGGACATAAGCAGCGCTTCGAATTCAGGACCGTAGGTCAGAAGAGCTTCGATTGTTTTGTGAATCAAGCGGAGTTGTCTAAGGTCATTCGGGACCTGCACCGTGACTTGTGTGGGGGGGAAGGTATTCATCGATCGCGGACCATAGGGCGTGGATGAGGCATATGATGCCGGAGGGGCGAAGCGGTGACCTGTGGAGCCTTGGCTCGGGGGAGGAGCTCGAGATAAGGACGTGTGTTGAGGAATCGGTTTTGCTCCGAAGGGAAGATTGTTCAAATTTGCAGACGGGACATTACTCCCGAGAGCACTTATGCCGGTCAAAGCTGCGGAAGAGAGATGGCGAGATATCGAGAGATTGAAGCCGAACCCGAGGTATTTATTCTGGAGATGCGAGACCACTGTTTCAATATCGGCCGCCGGGGTTTCGGCAACGAGCGTGACGATCGCAGAGATGGATTTCCTTTCGGTGGTTAAGCCTGGCCCGGGGGGGAGAATGCGGACATTTTCGACGGTCAATGGGGACGGAGTGAACAGTGCCTTGACGACGGCAGGAGACGTCCCAGGTGGAAGAGAGGAGAGGTGTAATGTCGGTTTCGCCGCGGCTTTGAGTTCATCGGTATCCCTTGTATCCTCCTCGTCATCGTGAGCGAAAGTACGGGAGTCTCTCCTGTTGTCCGCATCTCTACCGTCACTATAAGAAAACACCCTGTCTCTCCTGTCTCGGTCGCGGTCGCGCTCTCGATCCCAATCTCTCCCCGAGTATTCATCATAGTGTCTCTTTTTTCCAAATCCCGGCGCTGGTCCCAAACTACCTGGTCCACTCTTTGGCAAAGAAGCACTCGGACCCAAGGTGCCGGGACCACTCTTCAGGCCCGAACTTGTGAAATGTCGCTTGCCAGGCCCAGAAGGACCATAGGTGCCGCCGGCAGAGCCAAACCCTCCTCTACTTTCGCCTCCAGTTCCTCGCTTCGAAGGAAAGCTCGATGTTTGGTTCCCATCATCTTCAAAACTCTTCACGAAATCTTCAAGGACAGCGGCTGTCTCCGCCTTCTCTCTGGCCTTTTTAGCTTCTGCCTCCGCCTTCTGTCGCTCGAAGATGGATTTCTTTGCGGAGGGGCCGACTTTGGAGGAAACGTCATTATTGGAAAGGGGCATTGTGACGACTTAATTTTCAAGGATCGGGGTGGGGAGGCATGTCTCCGGTCTGGCTCAAAGATCTGTGGTTGAGCCGTAAAATAATTGTTGGATTTGACGTTGACACTCGCCGCGCCGTTGGAGTCAGGCGAGTCGGTAAGGCTGAATTCGAAGTACATGGGCGGATTTAAATTTATCCGATTAGCTCTTAGGTGGCCTTCAGACTTTGTCACAAACCTCAGCTACTGCCGAGGCAGAGATTCAAGAAGCGCCCTCGCTGTTTTCGTCAGCGTCTACTGTCTCACGATTCCTTTACGATATAGCCATCTCGACCACTTGGGTTAATGGCTTCCCTCTCTTCCTGGCAGCTCTTCCCATCGAGCGACAAGCCTTCTCGTCACCGCACTGGCCTTCCCACTCTCTTACGTTGATCCTCCACACTCCACAAATTGAATGTTGGCTACCCTTTGAGAGTGCGCAATATAGAGGAGAAAAGACTTGAACCAAGCTAGACCTAGCAGGAGGGAGGTGCGAATCAGCTCTCTCCTTAGGTTGAGGAACCTCTTTACCTATTTACTCCTTGATCTTACGATAATATAGATTATTATCCAACGCGCTCAGAGTCCATTGAACGCCCATCCAACTCCAATAAAAACGAGGCTAGCAGGAAGATTAGGAGTCGCACATCAGTAGTCGATACTGTGTACAACGCTCCTCTTCCACATAACTTGCAACTTAAAAGGCCGGGTCTAGGCAGCCGGAGCCTGTGGCATGGCGAGGATGGCTCATAGGCTCGATGAAGACCATGGCACTGGATGATAGATGAAGATATGGGAGCAACGGACCATTTGACCAACGAGCCACCTCGTATTCATGCACACCCTATTTATGGCAAACAGCACTTCCAGCCTGCTCACAGCCGCAGTCTGGTGAGGGATTTATTTTGCTGTATTCCTTCGGTTTCGGTACTCCGTCCTCAAGATCCATCAATCCATCAATCCACCATTGGCCTCTTGCTTGTTGCCCCCCACCCCCAAAACATGGGTCATATACATGTTCCAGCCAACTAATTTGCCTGCCAGCCTCGGGGAGCCGAACCATGATTCGAGGAGTTGGATCCAGGCTGGTCATTGTGATCGCGTTCCTAACACTGCAAACACTTATCTTCTGGCTTAAACTTCTCAATCTCAACTCTACCATCAAGCACAGAGATCGTACACGCCTCTCCGACAGTTGTTCGTTCCAGTCGACATAGCCTTGTTAGGAGTGGTCTTAGTCCCGGTCTCATTCGCACACCCCACCGCGTCTATCAAGAAGACAGGTACACAGTGCAGCATCGGTGTGGACGCTGATATCGCGGGCGAAGGAATCCGTATCGGGGCGTTCGTGCAGGTGAGAGTATTGATTCTCGTGTCGTTGTTGGGCAGTTTCTTTACCGACGCGACCCGGCGAAAGAAGTTGGTGCTGGGCTGGCCTTGACCAGTGCGTCGCCGGCTATCGCATTGATGATCGGCATGAGACGCGGCAGTTTGACCCCTGTGGATGCTGCGGTCAGTGCCATGATTCCTGGTGGACAGAACATGGCGCAATCGATCTAACTCACGGCGAAAGAGACTCTTACATCACGATGGCAGGTGGGCACAGCAGTGGCCGCCCAGTTCATTCGACTTGGGACCATAATCCCTATCGTTACTAGGCTTAATGATCAGTCTTTACAGCAAAGGACTGCAGCTGCCTGACAGTCTTCTGGTGGGGCTGGCTTGGGAAATGCCAGCCTCCTCTCTGGTCGCTTGAGTCTGCCGTGTTCTGGACGCACATCGCGTGTCGATATATGTGCGTTATTCAGATGTCGTTTCATGCTCTTTGGAAGACGGTGTCGTTCAACAGGCCAGAGAAAGACGGTTGTGACACAGATGACGGGCGAAAGAAGCTTGGCAGACCGATCTACAAGATCGCATCTCCGCAATTCAACAACCATGGGGCCACCCGCTACAGCGAATACCTTGCGACAGTGACGTTTATGTGTGCCTTCTATGGTGTCCTTGCACTCACGTCACTAGTTACTGCTGAGACAACCATTCGTGACCTTCTACTGCAGCATTCTTTCGGCATTGATTCGAGCGGTCAAGTCATTGCTCTCGTCACTGCCGCTGTAGCGGTCCTTGGCGCAGGCTAGCTATTCCTCTGCATGATTTCGCACGACGACTCGGGGACGGGCCATTGCAAAAATCCCTTCAAGCCGAAGCGGTCTATGTTTTCCAGTGCTCTGGTTGATCTCTGTCCTTTCGACTATGCTCGTTCACCAGACACCTTACCCCTGGGCGCCTTGCCCAAACATCCATTCGACTTGGACTCCAAGTATGCCAGCCATATCCCTGTACCACAAGCCCGAAAAGACCTTCGATTCCATGGAAAGCAGGATTATCGCAGCGAGAAGATCCGATTCCTTTTTAGAATTTTATTCTTCATTCTCCAGCCAATTACAGACTGTGCTAACAGAGGAAATGGAAATTTCATCGTTGATTCCCTCCCCGGACTACTTGATCCAGTGTGCCGCACAACAGGAAATACAATGTGACTTCGGGGCCGGTTCGATTTGCGCCGTAGCCTACCTGGTCGTTGGCCTGAAGATCAATACTGGGCTAAGGGTTTCCTGGCCAAAATCGAAATTCATTTCGGTTGGGTGGTCGTTATCTGGACTCTGCGTCCTGCCGAGCGGCGGCAGGACCAGGAAATCGACCCATTTGCCAGTTTGACACTAATATGGCAGAACCACCTCAATGGACCGCCGCCACACGAAGACGGGTGAAAATCTGGCACATCATGCCGACAGTCAAAGGTACGTCTTAATCTGCTCTCTTGGATTTAGCAGCCCGGCTTACGTTCTTAAACCAGGTTCGGTGTGATGCCGCTGAAAAATTTCCGGCTGCCTGTTTCAGATGCGACTCGCATGTAAGTTCCTCAAGGACACTGAGAACTGCTCGAGATAGACAGACGTAGGGTCTACAGCTACGCACACAACTACTATCCACACGTACCGATACTCGACAGAGTTACATCTGTGATAGACTTTCATGACTCAAATACCTTCCTGATCTGGACCATTTTGTGGATTGCGTCTTATGGACGTCCAAAACTTAGCCATGCGTTCGAATTGAGCTCGCAACCTTACGATGAGCTGCTGATGACCAACATTCTCTTACCTATCCGCGACTTCAGAACCATTCGGGCTATTCTCATCTTATGTCACTGGCCCCATTCCAGATCACGCCGGAGCCAGGATCCAAGCTGGCCACATTGCGGGATTGCTGCATTGCACATGGGACTGGATCAGCCAGAGCCTGAAACTATCTATCCCGGAATAAGCCAGCCGCTTGCATTAGACTGACACCGCCATAGTCTTCGTGAATGGCTCGGAAGACGGCCACTTTTCTCATCGCCTTCGCTGCTGAACACAACTTCAGCGATGGCAGAAGAGTCAAATGTCCCACGCTGGAAGGATCTCGACTGCTTCCAGTGGATGTCGGGTGACATGCTCGTCGAGATGCTGAACTTATGAACTCGCAGTCGAGAAGCGAACTGGGGGTGAATCACTTTCAGAGCGCTGTCGAGATCTGTCGTTAATTGTGGTGTTGATACTTCGTCCGTGAAGGCCCCCTTGAATAATGAGGCATATAAACTTGATCAAAGAAAGGCCAAGCCTCACTGCACAGGCCTTCTCACATGTCGACACCAGGCGTGAAATGGAAACCCTGGACACGTAACTCGACCCAAGACGCGACTGTATTACGCATGTACCCCGTAAAGGGGCTAAAGCTGTGAGTGCTTAGGCAGGTAGACCTAGACGCCGAGAAGAGCTACTGTAGCAACTAATCGATTTTTGTACCCGCGGCCTCGTAGTAATTAAAGCCGCAAGGCGTGCCTTCATGCGAACTCTCGCTCCGAAGAGCGAAATGCGCCCAGCACCCTAATTTCTAGAAAGGGGTTCTTTGCTTTTCAGAAGACCGGTAAAATCCCGTGCCACATCCTATGCGGGGGCCCGCTTGGACGCGTTTTCTGAGAGACTCGATGAATGCATTGCTAGCTATGTTATGTGCTTTTTTCTATATACCTCGACCGCGGCGACGAGGGGGATTCTGGGTTGAAATGGCTGTCAAAAACTCTTACTCCGTACAAACGCATTGACACAGTGATAGTGGCTCCACAGCTGGCGAGCGATCTCATTTTCATAAAACAGATCCTACAATGTGTCTCAGTCCGTTTCAGTTGTATAGCTGTCTCTAGGTAAAAGAAATTGGTATCTCGAGATCTACAGTGCCTCTTTCAGTCAGATAAAAAAACGCCTCATTCATGACATATTCTTTTCCCGTTGTCATCTTCCTTTCATGCGTTCGCGGAATTCATCAACCGAAACTCCCCTGATCCATAAGGTAGGAAGATCTTCCTGCGCTTTTTGTGACGAATATATATGGCACCTCGGTATCTATTCTATCTTGCGCCATCCTCCTCCTCCTCCTCGAATCACTCGCTTATGGTTCTGGTGGCGTTCGTTTACACGCGCGAATGCGGCGACATGGGAATCTGCTCCGTGCTGCTGTCGTTGACCTCCTTGTAGTGGTTCAGGGATGCCTTCTTCGTCCGGAAGTGGAAGCCGGCGTCTGACCATAATTTTTGTCCCAGGACAAGGCCTGGGTGCCAGGCGGTCAGGCCCGTGACGGCAATGATGATCATGGGTCCCTCGAGGATCATGAATGTGACTTCGTCGTTGGCGAGCTGGCCGTTGAAGCCGTCTTGGAGTTCAGCGAGGCGGTAGCTCGATCGCACTGTGATGGTGATGACCGCGGCTGCGATACCTGGATTAGGGCGGAAAGGTCAGCGCATCAAGTCCTCCCTCTTGGATTGTGCCTTTTTTGTTGGCGGGATTTTGTCAAGACTTACCGATCAAAAAGCCCTTGAAGCGGCGCGTGTTTCGAAGAAGAGCATGCTCCGGGATGAGCTTTTGTGGGTTCTTGAACACCTTCCAGGCAAAATGGCCACAGATGGCGATGAAGATGGCTAGCGAAACGACCTGCGACGCCAGGCCTGCGATCATGACATTGATGCCGAGCTGGTTGGTGTCGTCGTCGTCGGCGGTCGACGCAATGGCGCCGCCCGCCGCTTGCAGGACCAAGGAGATAAAGTCGCAGGCGACGAAGATGCAGGCGATGGTCCTGGGCTTCAACAGGCTCAGCTCGAGCGCGTAGATGGTGATGATCCGGCTCAGGCACAGGTAGATGGCCGCCGTCAAGAAGGCGGGCCCGATGGTCAACCCAATCAGGTAGATGATGAACGAGTTCTTGTCGAAGATGTTGTTGTAGAGCATCAGTCGCCCGATGTAGCCCACGATCTCGAGCACGATCCCACATGCCATGCCCACCAGGAAGCCCCATGTCCTGTACCGGATCCCCAGGAAGATTTGCAGCAGCAGGAGGAGTCCGAAGATGCCCGCATAGATGGCATTGCCGGGCAAGCTTGGGATATAGGCGATCTGCCCGTATTCTTTGACGGAGCAGGTGGCGATGGTGCAGTTGTTTGGCGTCGACATGCTGATATCAGGTGGAAGGGTGTATTTTACGACGTTGAGGTTGAGGTTGAGGTTGAGGTTGAGGTTGAGGTTGAGGTTGAGGTTGAGGTTGAGGTTGAGGTTGAGGTTGAGGTTGAAGTCGAGCAAAGGAAGTTATAGAGCAGACAGAGTTGGAACGGGGTTGAGCGATGTGACGCCTTACCGTTCAGACATTGAGCTTCTATCAGGGTACTTATAGCCACTGCATATGCTCTCCCCTGTGCTGGAAAATTGGAAAGGGGGGTCATATACAGCCTTACCGACGCAGTGCTGCGCCTTCGACAATACGTTGGTCTACATGGTTGGAACAGGCATTAGATGTGCGGTTGCTAGAGTGCTAGAGTGCTGGAGACTGATGATTGATATTTTGAGACATGAGACAAGAGGTTAGGACCATGACAAGCCTCTTCTTGGCTGGTATCGGCAAGCTTCGCAGTTCGCAGCGACGTACCCAAAGAGATTAGCTTGGGAGATGGCGCTTGATGGCGGTTTAGGCCTCCCGACAACAGCCCTGTCTGGGGGCTGACAAGGCAGTATTGCCCTCGTACTTCGTATACTTGGCTGGGACTTGGTGGAGAGCTCGGACAAGTGCAGCGAATGCGGTATGGGAGGATATCCACAATGTCGTCCTATTCAATCGTACGATTATCTGTCCAGTGCCCATCTAATCCCAGGTACGAAATACATACAGATATCCCCCCAGTCTCACTAGCCATATGTGTCCCTGCTTCCTTCAACTCTTGCTTCTGTTCCTGTTTCATCAAATCGACCTTGCGACGCCAGCGCCCCATGCTGAAAGGCCACCCATGATGCGATTCCTGGACCAAATACGACCCCAAGGCTCCTCCAACGTGAATGACAAAAGCCATTGCGGAAGGCTTTGCCAGACAACCAACTGTGCTCCCATTGCCAGACAGCATCCCATCCTAGAACCCCTAGTTCCATCCCCATGGACCTCAGACCACTTCTGTCTCCCTCCGTCTAAATTCAGTCGCCCAGAGAGAGGGTGTGCTTCTTGCGTGCAAGATGAGGCCCGTCTTGTGTTCGGCCTTCATGGCCTGCTAGGCTTCTGACTAGATTCTGACTAGACTGAAGACATCTCTTCATCAGACTGATCGACAGCCTCAAGCACAAACTGTTGCGCAAGAATGACTAGACTTCTGACATCGCCAGCCTCGGGCGCAAACTCTCCCGCAAGAACGATTAGACATTTAATTTGAAGGACCAAGTCCTCATCGGACTGGCCACCATCCTGAAGCCCAAGAAGTCGAACCAATGCACCGCGGAGCACCTCATACCGTCGTTTCACGTCGTTGTACTGTTCGTATGCCTGAACAGCCACAGCAAGATGCCCTCTGAGTTCCGATGTGGCTTGCGAAATTTGTCTCTGGTGGTAAGAGCATAGGCAATGGCGGGCAAGCATCTCTAATTGCTGACCGGTCACGAGGGTAGGGGGATTCGCACCCATGACACCGAGTAGGTTACGAACCGTCGCCGCATTGGAAGGAGATTCTTCCCTGATGCCCCAAGCACATCGAGAATGAAATCTTCTAAATGTTCGGCCGATACAGATAATGTCGCCCCTGACACTGTCAGTGATTCGGAAGGTGGCATCGGGATTCCAGACATATGCGGCCATGTTTGCACAGTAAGGATTTCGACCAGGTGTTGTATGAACAAGCTTGCTGAATAGATGACAGATTATTTGGTTGACTCTTGAGCAGATGCTCTCCGTTGTTGAGATGCTTCGATGCAGAGGAAGGGATCTCCTCTTTATAAGGCTGTTGGAAACACCACACGAACGGCCTGCCTCAATCAAGCAGACACAACGAGACACCCTCACAACACGCTTGGCACAGATTCAGCCAAAAGCAGCCGCAGTGTCCTCGGCAAAGAAAGGAGCGTGGGCAGGAACGAACAACATTGCCACTGCAAGATGGAGGCTGCAGACGCTCAGTCTCAAAGTAAGAACCCGGCTACCATGTTTGCTAAGGCGAGCAGTCCGTTTGTTTTTCTTTCTGACATTGCCAGTCTGCGCGTGGCATGTCTCGCCCAGTGAGAGACTGTACCGGATTGGTTTGCAACGACTCCAGCTGGAATGAATCGAGGAGGCAAAACCGGATTATGATCCTGCATGAAGCAGCCATGGTAAGTGAAATGTCTCTTTCCCAGCTTCCTTCACCTTTAGCAGCAATGCCTTTGGGAATAGTGAGCCCTGATATGAAGTCGTGGCCTTGTGAGATGGGTGGAGCCAGATTCAATTTCTTTGTCTGACGAGAGACAGTGTCTACAATACGATAGCCTAGCAAGGCATTTGAGGAAGGACATCGGCGGAATCATATTCGGACCGCTCAAACGTCCATGCAGTCCTTGCAAGTGGTCCCGATCGCCTGGTTGCCACCTTACGGCGAAATTGTTTCACCAGGCTACTTCCCTCCCATCATACACATTTGGACCTTCCACATTCTCCCATCCGGGAACATGTATGGTTTTGCATTTCCAATTGTCCTCCTTTGTGCTCTTGAGGAGAATATCAAGGGTGGCTTTTGCTCCAACCTCGACCGGCAGGTCAGCCCTGTCCCCACCCATGTCAGTCTTCAAGTACTGCATATTCAGAACATTTGTGTCAGCCGTGCTCATGCGGCAGGATAACAACGGTAAGAATCAGGAGAGCTCAGCTTACGCCGGGGGACACCATCAGGAATGTAAACCCTTCATTCCCCAGCTCCAAGCCACATTGCACAGTCAACATATTCAGAGCCGCTTTCGAGACCTTGTAAGATGGTGTTGGTGCATACATAAATTGGGGAGCTATTGTTATGGAGCCAAGGGTAGATGTGCTGCATTGGTGATCAAATTTATCTGCCATGGTCGTCGTCGGCATGCTTGGGGATGCCGGTCCCGCTACTCACATGTTCAACACTTTCTTCTGTTCACCTTTGCGCAAAAGGGGCAGAAATGCTGCCGTGACATCGTGGACGGCTTCTAAATTCACTTTGAGAGTATAGCCAAGGTGATCCATGTTCTCGATGCCGTTAACGGAAAGAAGCAAGACGCCACCATTATTAATGACGACATCAAGTCCCTTTCCGGCAAGGGCTTTGTCGACCAGAAACACCGCTGCCTTGATGCTGTCCTTTTCAGTGATGGCCATTGGCATGTGCACGACCCTCCCATTCGAATGAGCGATAAGCTGTTGCAGGGCATCTGAGGGATCGGATCTGGTTGTTGCGAAGATAATCGAAACTTGATCCTGAGGGAGCTTCGACAGTTGGGAGGCGAGTTCGAGTCCTAGCCCGCGACCGGCGCCTGTCACAAGATAAGCAGGCATTGTGATCTTTGGTCAATTTTGCTGCCGGTCACGGGTAAGAGCCCCTTGGTTGAAAGGTAGAGTGTATATAAAAGGGATCACAACTCCAGAATCCGTCTCTCTAGCCCGTAGGTGTCTGCATATATATGCCCCATGCTCTGGTTCCCGACCGACCAAATCTATGCATGCTTTCATCTAAACACATACCCGTACCTTCTTCTCGGGAACAAGTCTGTTGTCCACGCCACGGTCCTACGGAAGTATCTCTCGTAACTCCTGGCTTGGCAGCCTTGCCCACGTGTTAAAGCGACAACCCGTACCATAAGGTGAGCCAAGCAGGGGATTCGGGATAAACTCTGGCCCAATCCTGTGTGGCAGGTAACCGGGGAAGAGAGGTAAGGCCTGACCGCTTGTTCTGCCCCGGAAATAAGGATTCGGTGCTAATATCTAAGTGATCATCTATATCGTACCCTGGTTCAGGCGAATCGCTGTGGCTAGTGGGACATTTGCGGGTCGGCACTGTTCCACATGGACGATACTTACAAAGCAATTCGTGATGGATGACCCGTTTTACTGGTGACATCAGTGACAGATCAACTTCTCTTCCCGAGTTCGAGAATGTTGTCCACCATCAGCTGGCTAGCGCCCAGGTAATTGGCCGGGTCACAGAGGTCCTTCAGTTGTTCTTCCGACACGTATACCGCCACACTGGCACGGTCCTTCAGAACGTCAAACAGTGCCTTGTCCTTCTCTATCGACTCCTTGCAAGCCTCGTAGACCAGGTCGTGAGCCTGTTGTCGACCCAGAAACGGGGCTAGACCCATCATCACGGCTTCCCCGACGATGAGACCCCTGGTCGATATAAGGTTCTTCACCATGGAATCTGTGTTGACGACGAGGCCTCCCAGCGCAAAATTGGTCTGATGCAGGGCGCCGACGGCCAGGACGAATGCTTCAGGCACGGCTACCCATTCCAGGTGCCAAGGGCCCGAGGCCCGCTCGAAGTCAGTCACCATGGCATCTAGTGCCAGACCTGCATTCGCACGGAGTAATTTTGAGGCAGCAAGGACGACTTCGCTTGAGATGGGGTTCCGTTTCTGCGGCATAGTTGATGATGCACCGCGGTGGGGGACAAATGGCTCCGCCACTTCGCCCAGTTCATTGGACGACATAAAGATTAGATCATAGGCGATCTTGCCGAGCGAGCCTCCCATGAGGGCAAGGAAGCTGACGATTTCAGCCACGTTGTCCCGGGCGACATGCCAGGTGATGCTGGGGTTGCTCAGACCGAGCTCTTTTGCGAGTTGTTCTCTCACGCGGAGACCGGCGTCGTCAGATCCTAGAGAGGCCAGCGTCCCGGCCGCGCCGCCGAACTGGACCAGAAGGCATCGGTTTTCAATTTCCTGGAGACGCTCGGAATGCCGAAGGATGCTGGATAGGTAGACGGCGCACTTGTATCCAAATGTACATGGTAAAGCATGTTGTAGATGTGTTCTGCCAGCCATTGGCGTGTCGCGGTACTTCTTCGACAGAGTTCGGAGTATGTTTTCTAGTTCTTGCAAATGGCGTTTGATTATCTGCAACCCATTGCGCATCTGAAGCATGGAGGCAGTGTCCATCTGCAGCAACCCCGGGAGTTAGAGCGCCGGGTAGCCAACAAATGCAGATATTGGCCCTGTTCTGTCACATGGGCAAGGGAGGAGGAAAAAAAAAATCTACCTGTCTAGTTACAGTCTTGCAAACGTGATCGACTTACAATGTCTTGTGTGGTGGCTCCCCAGTGGATATACTTGCCCATCTCACCAGAAGCATGTTCCACGAGCTGCCGCACTAGAGGAAGGACAGGATATCCCACGATCTCTGTCTCGCGCGAGAGGCGGTTAAAGTCAAGACTAATATGTAACAAGCAATCGAATGAGCGCGGACGTTCTGGGTCTGCAGGAATTGGGCGACAGGTGGGCCCAAAACACTCACCGAAAGCCCTCCTTCTCTCTGAACTTGTTGGTGAGAATTTCTCCAGCCTCAGCCGGGATGAGCCCAACCTTGGATTGTGCCCGGGCTAGAGCAAGCTCGACATCGACCATCTGCTGAGTGTATGCCTCGTCATCGAAGACAGCGCGGATCTCTTGGGTCCCAAAGAGGTTTTGGAACAGGCGTGAATCAAGTGCCGAGACTGACATTTTTGGGGTCTTTGGGACTGAGTCTGGTTTGTCAACTGCTTTTGTTCGATGTATTTTCGTTTGGGAATATGGATCGACGGGTTTTATAAAGATTCTAAATTCTCTCTGTCTCTGAGAACGTGGCCGGAGAGTCTCCTGGTGGTTTTGAAGTGCTCTTGTTTATGCCTTGCGGGGTCGTAGCCTCGTGCGGGGAAGGCTGAGGCTTGAGGGGTTCAAGTCGAGGAAGGCTCCTGAGTCTCCACAAGCCTCCATCACCAAATTGTTTGGAATTTTGAACTCTGTGGGCGCCAAGCCATGTCTATTTCAAGCTAGACCGCCACTGTCCTTGCCCGTCACGTGCCGGACAGGTGAATTGCGATGTTCGATGGGCAGGATCATATTTTTTTGAAAGAGTCTGCATTGATTATTACCGGCTGGTTTTGTCATCATGATTATGGTTTCACAATCGTGAGGAGTTTGTGTGATGTTGTCGCCCTTTTTTCATAGAGAGGGAGTCCAGAGAGAGGGAAGTCTTGGCAGTGCAGACTGCACTTGCACTGCCCCGCCTGCTGCTTTTTCACTTGGATTCTCAACCGCTTTTTCGAGTCACTTTTGCAACACCAAACTCAGACTCCTTCGTCCCTCTCCACCATCTCACAGAATTCATCCTCCAATCACCATCCGCATCTGTTCCTCTTTCGATCCATCCTCTATCCTTCGAAATAGCATACAGCTCTTCTCCAGTCAACCCAGGTCGAACGAGATAACTGCCTCTCACACACTGGCCCAAGCTCGTGCTCGGTCTCCGCCACTGTCGACTCATAGCCTGACATTCCTCAGTCACAAGTCACTGCCGGTCTGAGTCACGTGTGTTTAAATATGCTCCTTGTGAGAGTGTACCACAGACTAGATCTCCTTTGTTCCTCGATCCATCCCTCTGTGTGCCTGTAAACGACCCTGCTACAATGCCGCCAAAGCCCCCACCGCCCAAGCCTCGCGCTGGCCAACACCGCCGGCCCAACTTTCGAGGCCGCATCGATGGCTTAGGCAGCCCAGCACCCAGTTCTCTGCGAGCGTCAACCCCTACGCTCGTGCGAGCACCCACGCCAGTCAGCCAGCCCCAGGCTCGCTCGAAACCCCTGTGTCCTAATCCCGACTGTCCTGATCGGTCAAATGTCGTCTTTGGTGATCAAGGACTCATCTGCCAGAGTTGTGGTGCCCTAGTCCAAGAAGATTCCGGCCTTGTTAGCGAGCAGGGCTTTGGCGAGACCGAGTCTGGCCGTATCACTGCTCTTGGTGTTCAGGTTGGCGAAAACCAAACTCATCAGAGGACCTTCCACGGAGGAGCTTTTGGGACTGCTGGCCGCGAGGCCCCGCTGAATCGCGAACGCTCAAAAGCCCAGGCCAAAACCGTCATGTCCTCCTACATAAACCTTCTTGGCATCAGACAATCGGAGGTGGATGCGGCTGAAAGACTGTTTGAGTTGGCAAACAGCAATAGCTTTGTCCAAGGGAGAAGCATCGAAAGTGTCGCTGTCGTCTGTCTCTATGTCGCTTGTCGACGTAAAACGGAGCAAGTCGAGGGTCAATTGAGACCCTTGTACAGCTTCATGTTGATTGACTTCGCCGAGAAGATGAACATGGATGTTTTTGCACTGGGCAGGGTGTACCAGGACCTCGTCAAAAAGCTGTTTCTGACCAAAGGAAAAGGCTTTCGACCCGATGGCTCTGCAGAATTCTGGGGAATGGATCCGGCCACGCTTGTACCCAGGTTTGTCGAAGAGTTGGATTTCGACAAGCACGACCAGGACAAAATCAAACGCGATGCTATCAACATCGTCAAGAGAATGAAGCGCGACTGGATCAGCCACGGCCGTCGACCTTCGGGCGTCTGTGGTGCTGCGGTCATTCTGGCCGCTCGGATGAACAATTACCGTCGTACCACACGCGAGGTTGTGCTGACGGCAAAAGTCACCGAAATTACCATCAACAAACGACTGGAAGAATTCCACGACACACAAGCCAGTAAACTTTCGGTCACAAAATTCAGAAACGAAGCGATCCCGGTCCCCTATGTACCGCATCCGCTCGACGAACAACATCCGCCTATCTGGAAAGAAGCACAAAATCCGAAACCCAAGAACAAGAAGAAAGGTCGCCCTAGAAAGCGTGCTCTCGCAGAGACCGCCGCTGAGATCGAGGACGATGCTGCGTCTCCTGAACCCGAAGCTAACCAAGAATCGGACGAAGGGCGACCACTGCCGGCGAAACGAGTTCGGATTGACGCAGAAGGTTACAAGATTCCAGAGATCCCAGCTCGACGGACGGTCATTGATCCGGCTCTGACTTCTGGCGAGACACCTGCTGAAGCACAAAGCGAAGAGGCAGACGCTCTGCGAGGGGAGACGCCTGCATCGTCGCACGACGAGCACAGTCAAGATGTCTCGAATGCCTCGCAGCCTCCACATCGGAAACCCAAATCCTCGCATTGGAGAGCACCGCCTGCATCGGCAGCCGAAATTGCGATTGAGAACGAAATTGAAGAAGGCATTGTAGAAGCACTACGAGACAACCCGGAACTCGACCCAAACTACCGACCTCTGCCTCCAGGTGAAGAGGAAGGATCGGTGCAACAGCCCGGTGGTGGTCAGGCTGGAGGACAGCAACCAACCCTTATAGATCTCACCGCCGACCCAACCCAGACTGTTCCTCCGCACCCGAGAGACAAGAAATGTGGACCACCCGCGAACTCGACAATTGGTAACCTTGGCTTCGTCTCCCTTTCTCCGACGCTCAAGCCTGACGAATTCGATTCTGATGAAGATGTCTCAACTTGTCTCTTGTCTGAGCAAGAATCCCGTA